AGTGAATTACGACTACGAGCTATGAAAGATATGGGATGAACTTGTGGGATATTCTACTATTCCAACGTGCACTTGTGCCGCTAGTACTACCTTTGCTCTAGAGAAGGAGAATGAAAAAGTACATGTTTTTCTTGTTGGTTTGGATTCCACTCTTTATGGCACTATTGTTTCAAACATTTTGATGATGGAACCTTTGCTGAGCTTAAACATGGTATTTCCAAAAATCATGGCTGAAGAATGTTACCAAACTATTGCTCATGCCCATGAAACTAATTTTGATGTTGTCGGTTTCACAAGCAAGGGGATGGAATGAACAATCTGTTAAGTCAGACGAAGCGCATTTGCAATTCTCACTAAGATTTTGAATATGAAAAATATAATACATATTGTTATTCCTAACATGTTCATTAGTGTTTCAGCTGGATAACAATAAGTTTAGGCAAAAATGAAGGACAAAGTATGATCAAGCATAATCGAATTGAACAAGACATCAGACGATAACAAAGCTAGTATCAAGACTAAGGTTGATCCAGGCCTAAATCAAATACAAGATAAGACGAATCTATTAGCTGAAGCCTGAGGGATCAGATGTAAGACCAAAACAGGCATCATATGAGACTAAGTCAAGAACGAGACGAAAAGTTGGCTAAACATCAACATGGATTTGCAAAATCATCAGATAGAGCCTAACGAACAAGCATACAAAGTCATCATTCTCATGACCAGACGTAAAGGGTAGTCAAGACCAGATGAAGAATCAAAGCTAAGATGTGTATCCAGACGTAGTCGAAAAATAATGAAGCACGTCTGAAGTCCACTAATCACATTGAGTGAAATCATACAAGAAACACAAAAGGACATCAAACTTGAATACAAAAAAAAAAAAAGGCAAGCGTGGATTCACAAGTCAAAGTTGCATGTGTCAGAAAAAGGACACCTATTTTTCAGAGAAAGACAACACCTCAGCAGCTAAACTGATGAGAAAAGTACAAATATGCCTAGATCATGATTGAAGTCAGACACCAAAATAATCAACTACACAGAAGGACTTCACGTATACAAGCAAACATTTAATGCAAGATCAAATGCATTAAATGAAAAGATTTACATAGCCATGAACAAACCTCTATCTACAACGACATGAAGCTCCGCTCCAATAGGAAAATTTGAATTCAAACAACGGGTAGATTTATCAATAGGCTATAAGTATCAAGGCAAAGAAGAAGAAGAAAAAAACAGAGAAGTAGAGAAAACATGCAATAAATAAAAGAAAGCGAAAAAACATAAGCTACATTTCTTCTCAAAGCATTTCCTGTATATATCTGTGTAAAAACTAAGATAGCTTATCTTAGTGAGTGTTGTTAATATTCTATCCTCTCTACGAGAGTAAACAAAACACTCGAACACATATTCTTGTAAAACTAAGGTTACGCACCTTAGTGAGTGTAGAAATTATCCTATCCTCTCTGTGAGAGTTGCAAACACACTCAACACCTTCATTGTTGTAAAGCCTGAAGAGGCTGGTGATGGAATAACACTAAGGCCAAGAAGACCAAGAGGTGATATATTGAAGGAGGCAAGAGGAATGGGATAGTGTTGAAAAATCATAGGAGGAGTGAGTCTACTTTTGGGCTTTAACTCCTAAGTTTTTATTAGCATAGCATTTATTTTTATTCCTATTTTTCCCTTGTCTTTAATTTCCTATTTTACCCTTGTACTTTGGGTATCTTAGACATAGGATTTATTTTACTTGTATTTCCCATTTTTACCCTTGTATTTTGGGGTGCCTTAGTCATAGGATTTATTTTTACTCGTATTTCCCATTTTACCCTTGTATTATGGGGTGCCTTAGATTATAGGATTTTATTTTATAGCTAGGGTATTTTATTAGCTAGGGTTAGAAAAAGGCCTAGACGTATATTTTTGGTAGCATTGGTTTTGTTTTTGGACTTGGTAAGGCTTAGGCCCAAGTGGAGGGCACCTAGGATGCATGGTCTTATCATGCACCTAGATGTAGCTTAACCAAACCTAAAGATTCCATCCTTGGCCACCAAGTAGCATCTAGGGTTAATTTAGGTTTCATTTGAAGTGCATTTAGCTTGCATTTTTCGACCAAGGCACTCTCAAATGCAACCATAATGCTTCCTTCCTTCTATAAATACCCTAGGCTATGCAACTTGTAATCACTTTGGATTTTGAATATAGAGAGAGCCTTTGTGCCTCTATATCATTCCTTAGTCACCCTTGGCTAATTCGGCCACCACCCTACCATCTCCACCTTGAGAGAAACAACCCTAGAAGTGGCCTTCATCACCATGAAGTGAGTCAACCCTAGAGTACCCTTCTTAATCATTTCATCAAACACCTCACCCACAACTTCCATTTTCGCCCCTTCCTCCATCAAAGAAGCCCTTGAAGGACTTGATCCAAGGAGTCCAAAGCATCCCTTGCCATTGTTCATCAACTCTTCTTCAATGGAAGCAAGGATGCCATCATGTGGTATCTAGAGCCTTGGTTCGTCAAGGGTAACATTTTCGTCTCTTTAAATTTGGTCATGTTTAATTTGAGTCTTCTTATTTGTCTTCTAAGTTGTGCGTGATTGAGTCATTATCTTGCCATATGTCATGATTCATATTCCTCCTTTCATGTATTGATTCATGCCTCATCATTCTTGTGAATCATCTTGGTGCTTTAGGCTTCCTACCATTTTTTTCTTTAAATTTGAGTTGCTGGAAAATTTTGGGCTGCATGATATAATGATGTTTTTTATTTTATAATCCATCCGGTTTTGTCATAAACTTGTCTCCTTTGAACTACCTTGAAAGAAATTCCAAGTTTTTATGCTTAGCCATTAAAATGAGTAAAATATGACATGCATGCCACTTGTTTGATGAAATGGCCGTGAGTCCTTTAATGTGCTTTAGAGAGTCAATCATGGATGCTAATTAGTTCTAGCATGTTCTACATTCCTAAAATATCATGTGTGATTAATTTCCTTGCACATACTTGCTTTAAAATTTTCCGCCACTTTGGGTATTCCCTGGTGCACTTGATAAGCCTTTTTATTGTTTGATGTTTTGAGTATGAAAATGACTTTTATGTGCATATTCTTTCTACTGGACATTGCACTTAAAAACCTTAAGAAAACACTCAAAACTTGTCTCATTAAGCCATTGTAAGTTAACAAAAAGGATACTGCAAAAAGTTACTAACCAAACCAACAATCACAAGTGTAAAATCCAAGCAAAGGAAGAGTACCAACATTAAAAAAAAAAAAGTATTGGCTGGACTTTTGGACCTCAAAACCATGACCTAGTCAAGTGTCAAAAGGAACAAAAGAAACAAAATCAAAAGAATCAAAAACAAAAGAAAAAGGAAACCTTTGCTAGACTTGTGGAGTTTGGACCCAAAATTCTCATACATTGGCACTTGGAGTTATTCTTGGACCATTGGAAAATGCTTATTTACCTTATGAGACATTTAATCAAACACCTTAAGTACATTATTTTCTTTTAAGCCTACTTGTTGAATTCTATTCTAGTTCCATTCTAGGACTTACTCTTTTGTGTGCTTGCCTTTTGTTAATGTGCCTTAATTTTAGTTTTTGAGTCTTTCTTTCTACTCTGAAGTTTGTCTAAACAAATCCACTTGAGTTTAGCTTTTTTAATTGTGTCTTTTTAGTTTTTCTTCCTTGACCTCTTGTAAACCCTAAACACCACACACTTTTTTGGTGGATTGAGTGGAGGGGCTGCTCGATTTGAGTTCAAGGAACTTTGGAGGATCACACCAAATCAAAGAGTGAAAACACCATTGAAAGGCTAACCTTGGGTGTTCATTGTGAAGGGGTGGAGATTTGAAGACTTGAAGACTCAAAATTTTCTTTTTCAATTGATAAATATGGATTATCTTAAGTAATAGAGGTGATAAAAGGAGTATCAGCATGAGTCACAATCGTGACTCACGGATCACAACCGTGACTGGATCGATGAAATCCAAAGAAGGGTTGAAATTCAAACACGTCATGGTCATGACTTATCGATCATGCCCGTGACTCATTAGTCACAACTGTGACAGAACCTGACATGTGAAAATTTCAACCCTTTGTACCTTATAACTCATTCCATCACCAAAATTCATCAAAGTAGACCATCTAATCACTAGAAAAGTTATAAAGAACATGTTATAAGACAAAAAGAACAAATTATACATACCAATTACATGCTCATACTATCCTTTCACATAATAACCATTTAGGTTTCCTATGGAATCTCGTAGGCAATCCAAAAATGCAATTATAAATCAAAACACAAAATTAAAGGCATATATATATATAACAACAATTAGAAGATCAAAGAAAATAGAGAAGACAAAGTCACATTTTGGGAAAAATTCTCACACATAAAACATACAACAGAGATAGGATTTGAGTCAATCTCACTAACTAGTATACAATCTCATATTCAGAGCGAGACTTCTCACTTCCTCCTACCTAGATAAACACTAGACGATGGTCTTGCGATTTTGGGGTGGTTTCCTTTTCCTTTAAATTCTTCAAGCTTTGAAACATGTAAGTGTAAAAGAGAATATAAAAATAAATTGATCAAAAAATCTTCCTTTTTTTCCTAAAAAAAACCTCTCCCTTAACCCATCAATTAAAATAATCAATTATAGTTACCAAAAACCCTTTCCTCAATTAATTAATAAATAAATAATGAAATACTTAATTATAAAAACCTTATAATATATATATCTATATAAAATAATTATTAAAACCAACATAACAAAATATAATAATCAATAATAAAGCTAATACTTTTAATAAAAATAATAAGATGTTACATAAAAGATAATAATTAAAATGAATAGGTAAAATTTTTATTAAAAATCATAATAAAAATATATTAACATTACAATTTTACCATAAAAGAAAGTTTTTAAAATTTAAAAATTTTAACTACTCCGAAATTTAATAAGATATTGTGTGTCATATATATGTACAATGAAGTCTCATGGATTGTTGGGAGTTTCTAGCATGTTGCCATGAAAATCAGACATCATCTCATCGCATTTGGGATTGGGACTAAACTCACCATTCTCATCTCATAAAAATTCTCTCTTTACATTCGCTTTTAAAAATTCTCTCTTCACATTCGCTTTACTCTCTTCATAAAAATTCTCTTCTCCTCAATCCATTCAAAGCTTCAAACTTTTTCTCTCTTCTGCCTCCCTCGCATCCCTCTTCACTCGCAAGTCAGAACCCTTTCTTTCTCTTTCTTTCTTTCTTTCGATTTCGCTTAAAAATCATATTTTTCTTCTTTGTGAATGACTTTTCTTGAAATTGATACATACCCAGATTAGTAATTACTTCGGAATTTGTTCCTAAGAACCCCTTGTTTGGTGGGTAGCTTCCTAGTTGTTAATTCTTGTTTTGCATATTGTAGTGGGAATGGAGAAATCGGTCTGGGGTATCTGCTATGGGTACTAGGTTTGTGATTGTATGAAGGAAGTTTAATGGGTGTTTGTAAACTCTTGATTCTTCTGTTTTCTTGTTTTGGGCTCTTGTAAGGCTTGAATTAGCATCCCACTTTTATGTTTTAGACTGAGTGAAATGGAACCTTCCTTTTACCTCACTCATGCATGCCCTGAGGTCTGTTTTATGACATGGAATTAACTCTTGGTATTAGGTTGTTAAGTTATGATTGCTTATGGAAAATTCTGGAGTTTGCTCATAAACTATTAGTGGCTTGATAATTGTTAAGTTTTTAGAATGTAAATGTACCTCAATTGTCTTGTTTGCATCTGTGAACCTTCGATGTATTCTGTGATATGTTATCAAAGATTCTTTTTTCTTTTTTTATCATGTTCACTCACTCATTCGCTCACTTTCCCTTCCTGTCTCTCAATTCTTTTTTATCTGTGCACATGGGCATGTCAATGACTGATTACTATTGTTTGGAATGTACAGGTGGTGAAGATGTCGACTCCGGCGAGGAAGAGACTGATGAGGGATTTTAAAAGATTGCAACAAGATCCTCCTGCTGGCATCAGTGGGGCACCCCAAGACAATAATATCATGCTTTGGAATGCTGTTATCTTTGGGTGTGTAGGAGTTTACAAATTCTGAAATTTTTTTGCTAACTGCATAAGTTGTTTCTCTTTAATTTGTGGTTTGATGAGTTAATGTGTAATAGCAATCTGATTTTGCTTTTCTTGGTGCCTTTTCCAGACCAGATGACACTCCTTGGGATGGAGGTACAATTATATCTTTTACCTTATGTAACTCAGACTTTGCATTTCAATTCAATGTTTCCACATGTTAGAATAATTGTGTCTGAGTTTCTAATCAATCTTTAACTACTTTGTGATAGCATCTGTCCAGTTAAGCATTATTATAATTAACATTTGATGTGATGAAAGTTGAAGCGTTGAACTGCACATCCAGTTGTCTATTATGTATGTGTTTTGTTGCAAGATGTTATTTTAATCAAAGAAGTTTTGTCTTGATTTTAAAGTGTGTCTATTTTGTGTTCAAATATATTCTAGAAACTAGAAAGCAGAACTATCAAGGTGTCTACTGGAAGTGTCTAATAGTTATCATTCTTTTATATGATTCATACAAACATGAGTTCAACTTGTAGGTGTGTCACACAAGGGTTAGTATTTGATGTATTTATGTGCTTAAAGATAAAAGTTTAAATTGACCTGTGTCATGGTAATTTAATTGCGCTAGGTACAGAGTCTTTAATAAATTTCTGGATTCTTATATGACTTTTTTTCAGGTACGTTTAAGTTGACACTTCAGTTTGCAGAGGACTATCCTAATAAACCACCTACTGTGCGCTTTGTTTCTCGAATGTTTCATCCTAACAGTGAGTACAAATTTACCCTGCAATTCCATTTTGGAGTTAATGGCAATCATGAAATATTTCTACAATCAATACCTGAGGGTTATTGTTACTATTGAACTTAAAACAGAAGTGGAGACTCGTTTTAATATACAACATTCATTGGAAGTTATTGTTGAAACAGCTTCTGGGGAATAACTATTATTAATATTAAATTCTAATTCTAATTTTGGGGGATGTTACAATTTTGTCTTCCTTGAAGCTTTTTTTGAGATTTCTTTATTTAAAATATAAAAATGTGTTATTTTATACTTCAGTTCAGGTTTGGCACTTTGGTTCAGTAGTGTAGCCACTGTGCATACATTTTTTCCCCCTTAATATAGTTATTCTTTTTGGGGCATCTTGTAATGTTGTTCTAAATTTATAATTGGTTGAAAAGAAAACATTTATAGTTAGGATATTTAAATGCATGCTAAACTTTTGTTTGTCAAAAAAAATTAAAATTCATGTATAAATGATGAAGGCTGTTTTTGCATATATCTCTGTTTCTTGAAGAAGCTGGTATTCATATAGAAAATTATTTTAAGCAATCTGACCATTGATTGTACATAATTTTACATGTTCTTACGCATCAAATTTATGAAAATTTCAATAATTATAGGAATGTGATCAAGTGCTGAAATTTTCATGTTTTAAAAGCATTTTTTATGTTAATTTAAATTGGAGTACTAAATAATTTGATATCTTTTTATGTTTAATAACTTTTAATCTATTTCTATGTCCCTCTTTAATTGGCAATTTTAGTTTATGCGGATGGCAGTATATGCTTGGACATATTGCAAAATCAATGGAGCCCTATTTATGATGTTGCTGCTATTCTTACCTCAATCCAGGTAATTGTAATTCACTTAATATTTCAGAATTGCATCAAGGCCATACTTGCTAATAATGATTTGATTGTACTCTGTCTACAATTTATTTTAAATACAATTGATATCGATGTTTAGGGTAAAGAAGGGTTGTGTTATGCCCTTGATGGCCAACACAATACTAGGCTAGGCTAGGCTATTTTTGGAAGTAACACTATATGATTCAAGTATGATGTTAAATTAGCTAGAACTGCTACATTGGCTGTAGTGTTAAATGAGAAAGGGTTCTCACATTTTTCTAGCCGAGTGTGGGTAAAGAAGCTATAACACGAGTGCCTCTGATTAGGTTTGGTATTTCAAATATTAGTTCTTTGACATTAGGTTTGGCATTTGAAATATTAATACTTTAACGAGTATTTGGAGGTAGTGGACATCCTGATTCAATACAGAATAAACATAATGTTCATGTGTCTTTAAGAAACTAAATGTTTCCTTTTAGAAAAGCTAAGGGGCTAGAGGGAAAGTAACAGACTGGCTATTATTGTGGATAAGAATTGGAAAAAGAATTTGGTGGGTGTAAGATGGTTTGGGAACAAAATCTAATCTTTAAAATTAATGGGTTGCACATGAAACTATCAATGTCATTAATGAATAATGATTATGCACCATAGGTTAGATCAGAAGCACTTTTGTAAGAAAAGTTTTGGGAAGATTTAGATGGGCTGGTTCAAGGCTTATTCTCATAGGTGGGGATATCTGAACATGTTGAGCTTTAGAGATTAGCTTTGGATTCAAAGTTTTTTCACTTCAGTAGGAGAAATACATTGCAATTTAAACAAGAAACAATGAAAATCCTTTGGGAGGTAAAAATGGGAGATGTCGTACCATAAGGTTCTAAATTTAAGTATTTGGAATCAATTATGATAATTGATGGGAAAATGAATTATGCTAGAACACAAGAAACAAGTCAGTGATTAAAATGAAGAAAGGTGTTGTCAAGGGTTAATTGTGATTGTAAAGTATCTATTGAGTTCAAAGGGAAGTTTTATTGTACTGCTATATGACCAAATATACTCTGGTAGTGAATATTAGGATTTAAAGGTAGAATAAAAGGTAAATGGAAGTAGCAAAAATGAGTGTTAAGATGGATATGTATCCACACAATAGAAAACATGATACAAAATGATTGCATACAAGATATTGGTGTGTCATCTATTAAGAAAAAGATGAATGAAAATTGGTTAAGGTTAGACATATACAAATAAGGCCACTAGAGGCACCAACAAGGAGAGCATATGGCATGGTTTTAAGCCATGTGAAATGGGGCAAAGAGAGACTAAGAAGGACATTAGAGGGAATTATTAAAAAGAATCTCCATGACGCCCCCATTTAACAACAATGACAATCATTCTTCTTAAGTTAGCTTTTGGGTTAAGTCAAGCCCAATCTTCATGTTAGGGCACCTACAAAAGAAACCATACCTTTCTTTCTGTTAGTACCACATTCTCCCAGAAGGTGTCATCGTGCCCAATTCCCTATAATTAATTTTGGTTTTCCAGTCTATCCATTTGAATTCAGTCTATGCTTTGAGTCTGGGAAACAAAAACTTGAATATGAATTTCACAAGTTACTACTAGTTATGTATACGTCCCTCTTCCATTTCCTACATATGCTAGGATTGCAACGTTCAATTGTTGTTTTCATGTGTTTAATGCCTCCAATATCATTCTTATTCCACAAATCTGCCAGTCCCTTAAAAATCACAATGAAAATCATCCGCTATACCTACTGATGTTTTTATCTGTGATCTCTACTTTGGTCAGCATTGCTATTGTTAATGTCAGCCATTTCAATTTTCAATTTTAAAGAGTAATGGCAAGTGACATAAGGTTTATATTGCGATGGTTTGCATTGTAGTATCAAACTCTCATAGGTTAGGGGCATCCACAAGCCTTACTGAGGGCATTCAAGTGGTGTATGTACCTACGTATAACCTGCCAATTAAACTGAACTAACAAGAATCAAACCTAAGCTTACTTTATTGGTTCTGTATGATCCTACAAACTGATCCAACCCACATTCGACCCCATTTACTCTTCAGTGCTAAATAATTCACATTACTCCAAAAAGAACAAAACAGCCCATAAATTTGTGTAATACATATCTTAATAAGAGATGCTAGTAATACAGTCTTTTTAACACTCGATTTCTCCTATCAGTTGAAATTCGTATAAGTCTGGATTCAATTCCAAATTAGTAGGACTTGCACGAAGTTCAACCAATGAGAATGTGTTAGATGGAGTGTGTTGTTTGCACTCTTCCTCAATAGAATATAATGTTAGTTGACTTGCACATTGCACATGTTATGGATTCTTAGTATTTTTTCATTAAATTGGGTTTCTTGTTGCAGTCACTGCTGTGTGATCCAAACCCAAATTCTCCAGCAAATTCTGAAGCTGCTCGAATGTTCAGTGAAAACAAGCGTGAATACAACAGAAGAGTACGTGGGATTGTTGAGCAGAGTTGGACTGCTGATTAATCATCATATACATAAGATAAGACAGGGCCTCTGTGGCAACCAAAAGGTTGTCAAAAGGATATGATTGAATAATCACGACTTCAAACAGAACCATTATGATCTTCTAGTCCTAGACGATGTGTTTGCTCAAACTTTATATGAATTAATGTTACTCCATATTTTCTCCATGTTTTGGTTCATTCGTGTCTTTGGTGACAACTTTATTATGATTATAAAATTGGATGGCGTAGCTAATGGCGATTTTCGTTAGCAATGAACAAAATGGTCCTCGCCCTTGGAAAGGTAGAAGGGACTCAAGTGTACATGCAGCTAATGATGCCAACTCGATTGATTAGAGTGAAATATTGTTCGAGGACCATTATTTTATGAGGGTGAATTTCTATCATTATTAGTTTAGTATATTTAATTTTTTTTAAAAAATAGTTAATAAAATATAAAAGGCAAAAATATTTAACTAATGTAGAAAACAAATATAATACGAACAAAATACATGGTACAAATGACCATTATTTAAATTCATTAATAATATCAAAATTATTTTTCAATCCAATTATGTGTTAGACATAACTAATATGTGTAGAAGGATATAAAAGAGAATTATAAGATAGTGTAGTTTGTTATTTTGAAGCCATAAGATAGTGGAGATAAAAGAGTGGAAAGAAAGTTAGAAATGTTAGAGATTAACTAAATAGCTTGCTTTTGGGTGTATTAAGTTTTTCTTCCCATATTTTTTCTTACAAAATAATTTTACTTTAAATTTTTTTATCCTAGTGTTTCTATGATGATGATAATGGTAATAGTGGTAGTAGAAGAAACAATATTGAAGTCCATAGTGAATGTAATGTTGATGATAATGGTAATGGTGCTAATATCAGCGTTGATGCTAAAATTCATTGTTAAACTTTACATTAAAGTTGTGATTCTTAATTGCTTATATAGTAGTGCTAAAGCTTTTCTTAGTGATGTCTTAAAGTTTTGTTTTTTGTTTTTTGTTTTTTGCTTTTTTTTATTTATCAATTTAACTGTTATGCTTACGAGAAATTTCGATTAAAAACTAAAAAGAAGAGATTAATTCAAAGGTGAAATGAACTATAGTTTATAGAGCTTTGGCTGTGATACACCATGTTTATGCAAGGATCTGCTTCGATCAGACTTCTACAAACGATGTTAATTCCTTGATTTGTATGGCTTATTCGAACAATTTCACTGTTTATTGGAATCATTAGCATCTAAAGGAGCAAGAATTGATACGAAGCTAGTTCAAATTTGATAGGAACTTTAATAACTAATAATATGGAAAAATGCAGGCCAAATTGTGTTTTAGGGCCTTATAGAAGAGATTACATTACATATGTACATCAACATTTATTCATTATAACAATGAACTTAATGTAAGCAAACATTTTTATTGACAAGTGGTTTACAATTTTGTGCTGAGGTTTCCACTGCTGGTCCACGACTCTTGAACTTGCATTGAGTACTGTAAATTCCAAAGAACATCTTCTATTGAAGGGCGCTGGCTAGAAACCTTGGAGAGACAGTTGATGGTAATCTGAACTGCAGTCTTCATTGATTCATATGCATAAGTTCCCCTCAGTGAAGGATCAATTGCGCTTCTAAGTACTGATGTTGTTTCTGATGAACCTCTCTCCAACTGAGCATGATATAGAGAGAATTAAGATAAAGAAAAATATACTTTCTTGAAATTGTAAAATGACCAATAATTTAAGACAAAATATTTCAAAAGTGGTGAATAAAATGAGGCAGAGGGAGTATTTGACCAGGAAAAATGTTTGGTTTAATTGCATTTTTTGTTACCCGTCTTTCATATTTTAGAGAATTTTACTACCTAATTTTCAAAATTGTACACATTTTATTACTTTGTTAATTGTTTGTCTTTTGAACATTGATGTGACACATTGACTATTCATATGAATTGTTGATGTAATATATACATTGAGAAAGGAACATAATGTGATATGTTAATAGTCAATGTGTCATGTTAACCGTCAATGTATTACGTTATCGGTTAATATGTCACCTTAGTGGTCAACTACCGGAATAATAAATTATGCAAAATTTTAAAAGTTGAGTGAAAATAATTAAGCCCAAAAAAAGGTTTTAACAGATACCTCGTCCTTCAGCTCCTCTATTTCACTCGAGGATTCAATTTGTTTGCCAGTGATAACTTCAAGTAGAATAACACCCAGCTGATAAATGTCTTCCTTCTCTGCATTATTTGTGCTGCATGTGTTTGACAACAATTTATACTTCGGATACAACAGTGGAATAGAAGAGAAAATAAAATAGTAAGAAGAGAAATACCTGCCAATATGGTTGGTGGCAGTTTGTTCATTAAGTGCACTCTGAAATTGATCAAGGCAGATAGCAATGCAGGTTAGAGGTGTGGATGCAATTGTGCAAATGCTGATGAGAGAATGATCAAATTATGTAGTCTGTACAAACCTTGGATGACAATGGAATGTTGTATCTACTGACTTTTGCATTGAGACTATCATCCAACAGAATGTTCTCCATCTTTAAATTGTTGCCAAATATGCCAGGAGCAACTCCTGTGTGTAAAAACTGGACTCCTCTTGCAATGCCTATACTGATTGCCATTCTTTGTGGCCATTTCAACATTTCCCTCTTTCTCCCATCTGTTGAATGAAAACTCATGTTATATTTTTTGGGGCATTCACATTTTTGCTTTAGCATTTCATTTTAACTGATTGTTTACCTGCAAGTTGATCCCTCAATGACACATTTGAGATGTGCTCAAATACAATGAAGACTGTGCTTGTAGTTTGGGGATGATCCTGTTCAGTAGTGATACAGTGTCCTAGAACACTCACCATATGCCTGTGCCTCAAGTTGGGTAATACCTCTATGTGCTGCATGATGCTGTGGGGCAAACCTTTCTGCTTTATTTTTACACATTTAACCAGGACCACTGAACCATCTCTGAGCCAACCTTTATATAACTGGAGAAGTATGATAGTATTAGTAAATGCCATTACAACTTGGCCTTGTGGGTTCCATCTCATTATGAAGCACAAGTTATGAATCCATAAACATTATATAAAATCTTTTACCTGTCCCTGTGATCCCTCTTCTATTAAATTTGATGGGTCAAAGTTGTTAGTTGCATCTTCAATTTCCTCTGATGTGAAATTACGATATGGTGGCAGTCCAAGTGTAGCTTGCTTCATTGCCTGAGGAATATGTCCTACTCCCACAGAAGAAACCAGATTAATGCATCACTTAAATGAACGTGAAAATATGTATGATCTATCATATAGAATAAATTAATAATAATATAAAAGAACATAATAGTGGCCTTACTTGTACCATTGTTTGGTCTAGGAGATGCACGGGCAGAATATTTACTAGCCACAAATTTGTCCATTTTATGATCTAATCTTTCTGCTTTGGACTTCCTAAAGATGAACACAATGAGTACAACCAGAAGTCCTCCAATTACTACAATTCCTCCGATTATTCCAAGTACTAGGCCTACTTTTGTACCCGAATCCGATTCCTTCTTAAGCTTTTTACCTGGAGGCTTAACAGCTAAAGCTCCCTCTTTCTTGCAATAAGAATATGGATGTTGTTGATCATTTAGCTTTTTGGTGGACAAACAGTTCCCAGAATATAGTACTGTGGCCTTTGAAGACATTGAACCAAAGCATGAAGGCAATTCTCCTACTAGAAGATTGTGTGAGATATCCACAAACTTTAGAGAAGAACCACACGCTGTATTCACTAAGAGGTTACCACTTAGATGGTTTGCAGCCAAGTTTAGGTACTGAAGGGAAGGCTTAGAGATCAGAGAGGATGGGATGTTTCCAAAAAATTCATTGGAAGAGACATCAAATACCTCAAGTTTGTCAAAGTGAACTAATTGTGGAGGAATATGAGATCTTATGGAATTATTTCTCAAGATAATAGTGACAAGATTCTTTCCCACTGAAGGGAATTGAGGACCCAGTTTGTTACCTCCCAAGTTGAGCTCTTCAAGAGAAGCTAGCCTTTGGAGATCAGGAACAGTTCCATTAAAGAGATTATCAACCAAAACTAGACTCCTTAGATTTCTCATAGAGGTTATGGATTGTGGAATTTCCCCATAAATGAAATTTGAGCTAATGTTTAGCACTTCCAAAGACCAAAACCTGTTGATCTTGGCTGGTAAAGGACCCCACAAACCCAAGGACACCAAGGACAACACCTTCAAATTTGAAAGTTTTGTCATGGCTTTGAAGAGAGAGTCAATGGAGAATCTTCCTGATAGAGTTTGAAGGGAAGTCCAAGAAGCTGCTTTGTGGGTGTGTGAAGATGGGGAGGACTTGTTTCCAATGATTGTTAGTTCTGTCACATGACCATTTGTGCAAACTATCTTGAGGGAAGGTGAAGGAGGGAGGAAACACAAGTTGGTCCATCTATTCCACCCTTGAAGAACTTGAGGATATTCAAGAAGCTTCTGAACTTGGAAAAGAATTCTATTCTCACTTGTTGTTATCTGTGCAACTGAGGAAGGAGTAAGCAGAACAAGAATGATTGCAGGAAACAAGTAACTGAAATAAACCCACAAGTTCTTCATATTATCAGGCTAAAATATTTGTACTAATGTAGAGATTGGTTAGTCTCACATAGACATAGCATACTCTACTATAAAGTTCAGAGTTGAAGCAAATGAATTGACAAATAACAGTGAAATTGCTCAAAAGATGGTATGAGTTTCACTGAGTACTATACAAAACAGACTTCTGGGTTTGGCTTTGCTTTTTTAATTATTTTTTCCTTTACAGTTGTGCAGAATCTAATAATTTGCAAAGAAAAGCTTTTAAGTAGAAAAGTTATTTGTCATAGCATGATGATTGCAAGAAAAGATTTTTGAAGGGGATTATGAGAATAAAGAATTTCAGTACTAAGGTGGAGCAGGTGGTAGGACAATGGGGGAGAGGAGCCAAGTTTGTAAAATGGATCTGAGATCTGAAAAGAAAGATTTCAAAATTCTGAGTGAAGCCACCACGAAAGTACTACTTTAGTATAGTAAAGGAACTTTGTTAGAGATGTCACATGGAAGAGTGCAAAGACATTAAAACGGAAATTCTGATTTGAGTGTATTGAAGACTTGTTACTAAATAGCCACTTGGTTTGCTAGCTTCTGCTACATTGCCCGAGAAATCCTAGCTGTCAAAGTCAACACGTTGCTGAAATCAAAGTTGCAAAGTGCATGAACTTTGATGATGACCATTTTATGATGGACCTGCGTGTATGATAACACAACATTTCCTAAAGAAATATCCATGCAACCACGCGCCATGGCACGTGATTTCTGTGAAGGGTAGGCTTTTATATCCAAATTTAATTAAGAGAAATCCTAAAAATTAACTTTTTTTTATTTTATTATAAACATGTTATCGGTATAAAAAAAATTAGTTTCATTAATAACTAATCTTCATTAAAAAAAAAAACTTAACTTATTACTTTTATTATAGTTTTCCCTTCTGATTACATTTTTTTTATTCACAAAATTCAAATTTGAAACCTTGTTTAAGTGAATTAAATCTAGGAGAACAAGAAATTCTTTTCAACATGCTATTTTGAACACGTTATCTTTTATAGATTGAAATTTATTAGAAATGACTCACATTTTAATTAATGAATCTTTTATGATTTTTATATTCAAAAGAATGTACATTTTTATTTATGAATATAATTCACACAATGTTTCAAAACTAATAATGAATGACTGATCTGCTCACAGAACATGACATTTAGTAGCTAAATATGATTCTAACACAGACAAAAATCGAGCTTAAAAATATTAAGTCAATTTCATATTTCAAAATAGACTTTACATCCGCAAAAAATGATGTTAATTCCTCTTAAATTAAAATGCATTATTATCCCATAATCATTTTAAAATTCACATTTAAGATAATTTCTAATAGTAGTATAAATTTTACATTAGTAATGCATCATAATTAAGCTCTTTTTATCCACAATAATTTAGCTTTCATTGTCTACAATAATGCCGTAACTGCCCTATGGTTGGGATGAAGTGAGCTAGGATTTTGGAGTTTTGTGCTGGTGGGGCTGTGTCGGTGAGGTGTTCCCTCTAAAGTGAAGGCAAACCGAAGATTAAAAGACCGAGGTTGGCACACACATTCTAGGTAAAATGTGTCACACTGACACATATTTTAATGTGCTATGAATTATTTCCACCTAATCCACTTCTTGTTTATGATCCTTGCATTAAGGAATAGGCGTTTGCTACATATTTTTAAGTGCTGGACAACCTGTCATGAAGATCAAAATCAAAAGAGGACAAGATCTGAAGAAGCGTTTTAGCATCGGTTTCCCTTTGGGTACATTGCTGGAACTGGAACTAATCCTTGAATTTAGAAAACTAAAATATATAGTAGCATTTGGTTGTCGTTTCTCACAATTTGATCACTATAATAGTTTTGGTAAAATCAAAGTCTAATCACTTGTTTTGTACTTTTGTTTGAGTATGATGATGGAGAAGTCAATTTTGGAAACTCCTAATGAAGAGAAGAATTTTGACTTTGAAGTATTGGACTGATATTTTATTGAAACCGAGAATGAAGAGTTTGAAAAGAAAGATTTTGCTGAATAGATAATGCATGTGTTCAGATTTTGCTGAATCTTGTTATGTAGTTTTATGAAGTTTGATCTTTTTACCCCAAATAAAGCATTGAAAAAGTGATGGCAGTGTTCAGGTTGTACTTAATCTTATTGAGAAAATAGATAAATGTGTTAAATGAGGCTTAAATTTGACAGGGACTTTTGATATAGTATTTAAAGTCTCACTGATTAAAAAAAATAGAGAGGGATTAATTAAAAGTCTTTTAAGGTGAACAAAAGTGCACAGTAAAAAGTAAATATATATTTATTGTTGATGTAAATTTAGTTGAAATTATAAATTATACAGTAATATACTTTAATTCGAATTATTATATAGGAATTATTGGAGTCGGCTAGTAGCAGCATGAGTGATGACAAAAAATTCAAGACCTTTTAAATGATGAAAAAAAATTAAAAAGGCTTAGGTTAAAATGGACTAGATCCATAATAATGTAGAAATATTTATTTATTTATTTATTTATTTTTAAATGAGATGTTTATCTCTTGATAAATAAGAGTTTGTTTGGTTTCATCATTTTCTCGTGATAAATAAGAGTTTGTTACAGTTTCAAAGAAAAGAGAAAATAAACTTGAAAATATATTTATTTTAAATTTTAGAAAATATTTTCAATAAAAAGATTTTTAAAATAAACTCGAATTTGAAAACAGAAAGATGGTGTTTCCATCTTTCTGTTTTCAAATTTGAGTTTATTTTAAAAATCTTGGGACCAGCTATCCTACCCTTTGAGGTGCCTCTAACGTAGCGAGAAGATTAATCACTGCTATTGGCGGTGGATATTCCAGGAACGAACCAAAAAAAAGAAAGATGGTATTTCCGATTGAAAACACAATGACATAATAGTAAATGTCAGAAATTTTTTACTTCTGTCACCGTGCGAGGTCTTTTTCAAGCTTACAAACACAATAGTAATGCAGACAGTTTAATGAACTTTTCTTTTTACACAATACTCAATTAGTCATGTCATGTGTCTTATGTAACGATCCGTCATGGCCGTCACACTATAGAACTATACTACACACTACTGAAATATATATTAAAATAGTATAATAAAAATAATTATAATACAAGTTGCTAATCAAGCAACCAACAACAACCAGCTATATACAAAAAAATATACTATTATAAGGTAGCATACAAAACAAAACCCAACTCCAGGCACCTCCTGTGGCCTCTAGCAGCTATCTCCCGCCTATCCTTGCCCTGCTCCCATACATCATATGACCATCGCAGTCCAAACCACATGAAAACATGCAAGGGTAAGCTAGAGACAATAAATAACTTATAATAATTAAAAATGCAACACACCAACTATATAATCATCTTCACATCCAACACAGAAGACAAACAACACATATCATATACATCTTAGCATCATTTCAACTTGATTCAACATATCAACATTGTATCAACACTTCAACGCAACTACTATACTAACCATTAGAATAGTTACCATATTCATCATAACAACAACCAACACATGTATTGCACACCTCTCAACAATACATGTTTAAAAGCAACTTACAACACAAATAATCTAGCAACGCTAGCATCATCATCAACTTGTATACAAATAAGAAACTTACAACATAACAACACTATCATCATCCTCAACAGGGTCAACATACAACACAATTATAGCTTAACAACATATATACAACTCATATCAACATCAATTAAACACATCAACAGCTTATGCGTCGTTACGCATTTCAACTCGGAGATCTCCTACAACATGGGAGAGCAGTTTAAGTGGCTAGGTCCTACCGAACCGACAGCAAATAACCTTTTTGGGCTTGCTAGGTAAACAACAAATTTGGATATCAATCTACAGCACAATAACGATTTCTCAGACTTTGTCATTTAAACAAGGAAGTATAGTATTATGTCAGGATAGAACAGTTGGGTTTAGGCCTACCACGACATTAGCTAGCTCAACTAAGCCACCTATGGGATTAGCCTACCGACTATCCTCCAAATAGTACAACCCTCCAATACTCGATTAGGAACTAAGTTCCCAACTTCGTACTTTACTCAAATTGGCCGCTTGTAGTCGGTATAGCTCAACCTGGCCCCTATACCATGGTCACTTTGTACACATGTGCCTCGACCTTGCCCACACACGGGACCAACTAAGTCCTAAAGGAGAACATCACAATGTCCACTCCAAGGGACAACTTCCCAAGGAGGGTTTTCAACAAATTGGGCTCTCTAAGCACCACAACTTTCTCAATCCACATAATGGGATGAGCAACTTTGAAAACATCGCCCCCTAATCCTAGTGATCAACAGCTCATCATCACAGCTTAATCAGCTTGCAATTCAACAACACAGCTCAGCTCAACAACTTAAACAGTATGATCAACTCAACAGCACAGCTCAGCTCAACAACTTAAACATCATGATTAACTCAATCAGCACAACTTAACTCAATAACTTAAACAACATGATCAACTCAACAACACAGTTCATCTCAACAACTTAAACAACATGATCAACTCAACAACTTAACAACTCAACTCCTAATCTACAACTCAATCATCATAAAATAATATCTTTCAACACATAGTACAACATACAACTTTATAGCAACATACAACTTTCCTCTAACAACTTAGCAAACTTCTATATAAATCTCAACACCTCTACACACTTCACATCATGCTTCTCACAATATTATCATCATGCACTTCACAAATTTCAACTATATCATCTCATCATATTTCACAACATAATTAGCCAAATCATAACATAAAACAACTTTAACCACTTAACTTCAACATGTTTCAACAATAACATCAATTCAACATATAATAGATCAACAACTTCACAACATACAATATATTCAACACATAATACAACTCACCCATCATGTTTACAACTCATCTATCATGCCAACCTACACAACATATACAACATGATTTAACATACACATCCAAGACAGCCTTTAACTTATCCAAATCACTCCTTGTGAAAGGCAACCTTTACATAAAATAGCATATCGGGAGTTATACTACTCCTATCATGCTCATCCTTATCTCATATGAAAGATAAGAAGATTTACTACAATTCTCATGAAGACACCAAGTCCTAATTCCTTCATCTACCTTGTTAAAAATTCTAAAAACCGCAATAGCTATAACCAATGCTGACAACTTGACCCCTCTTCACTAAATCAGCCATATCTGGAGTTCTAGACCTTCTTTTTGGGTGATTCCAACGCCATTGGAAAACTAACATCCAAGACTACAACTTTCATGAAGACTTAAAGACCAACATACTCACGCCAAGTGCATTAGCATCATGCCCGGTGCAAACTCAAACAGAGACTCACAAGAATCGCCACGCCCGGTGCGACTAGCCTCGCGCCCGGCGTGATTTAACACTGGTGGCCCCGGATGAATACACGCCCAGCTCAAAGAGCTGCGCCCGACGCATATTCAACC